TTTACGTAGTTTTACTCCTCTGGTCCCATTCTGCCTAAAATGCCATTTTTCCACGTTCCTTAATAGCGTTTCTGAAAAGATTTCTCAAGGCCAAATGTCAGGAAGGGTGACAGAATGACACATGGTTTCTGGGCTCCTGCAAACTGTGTGACATTTTCTTTCACCTCCTTGCACTTGGCTTTGAAATATCTTGTTCCACAGATTATGGTTCTCCGTGAATGGACGGAAACATAAACCCAAAACACTCAGAATCATGTGAAAGACAAACTGTAGTGGAACAAACCACAAGTAAACACAGCGTCCGCGCAATTCTTAAACTATGGACTCCAAACAGTTTTACTTCATCAACTTTGCATCTTGCTGACAATATCAGCACATCAGTCAGCAGTGGCATAAATCTGAGGTAAGTAATATGTCACTGCAAGGTTGAAGCAAAGTAAAACAAAAAAAGGAATCAAAGAGCCAACAACTCATCTGCTTTTGTTCAAACACAAACGGACTATTTCATTTGTGCATGGAGAGTAAAGAAGGCAGATTAAAAATATTATCCATTGCTACTTACTCAACAAAATTAGGAATGTCCATCCTTATACCTCTTTTTTTTTACTATTATACTCCTAACCCCATCCTACAATAAATAATATTAAGCTACAACATCAGTCACATGTTAATAGATTAACATGTTAAATAGTGGAAAGCTAATTTGGTGCTTATGCATTGTGCAAAGGTTGAGTTTTTCTTTCTAAAAATGTGATTTCTTGTCACCCTGAGGGCTTATTTCAATCACTACAAGGTTCTTGCTTAAAATGATTTTAAACCTGCATTCTGAAGACTGTAAGCAATAGGGGCCACAAATCCTCTGACTACGCAGAGAGCAGAGACTAGCAGACGCAAAGTGATCTTCACTTCTGTGTCTGTGTCTCAACTAGGCTTCCATCAGAGGTGGGACAGGGGTTTAATGCGCATGATTTCAGTTCTTGACCTGAATGCGTTAAATCAGCACAACGCTGACATGACTAATTTCTAGGACAGAAAGGAGACTAGAACAATCAAGCGAGATCGGCTGTGACCTTTCTGTATTTGAAACTCCACCTCTCCGACCTAAAAGCTACTGAATTTTCTGCAATAAAGACTATACTCCGTTCTATACATGAGATATCCATAAACCCAGCATTCAAACATCAAATTTCATGGTTCATTATTTTATTCAAAGGCTCATTAGCTAGAGGGCTCTAAAACGACCTCTGTCTCTTCCTGCTGACCTCAAAATTGAGAGAGTAGGAAAAAAAAAGATTCTGTTCAGAACACTTATTGTAGGAATAAAACTCCCTCTGGGAAGTGATCTGGTGTTGTTTAGGGCATCTTGAAAGTGGTGAGGGAAGGGGCTTATGGCATGCACAAAACTGGGTGTTCGATTTCCCTTTAACACATTTGCAGTTCTAATACAAGCAATGGTAACTGCAAAAATTAAGACGGTTAAGGAAAAAGAGAGAAAGATTTTAATCAACACATAAACACATTTTTTTGTATAGCTTTATAAAAGTTGGAACGGGAAAGTGAACTGTGCCCAAAACATTCCTGGCTGCAAATAAAGAGACAGAGTGCAACAGGTTACATCTTCATTAGCTAGCTACTGTATATGTGCTTGATAGCCAGGGCTGCTTTTCTGCAACTCAATCCTTCTAATCTCCCTGGCAGAAGCAAATCCTCAACCCATCTGGTAAGCTAAGCTGCAAGGTGCATAGCAAGAGCTTTTTGGAGGAGTCAAAAATGGTGTCAAGTTGTCATATCAGGTTTCGCCAGAGCTTAGTGATTGCTAAATCCACAAACCAGAGGTCCTTGACAGTTCAAACCCTCCAGAGTAGCTGGTATCAGTTTTTAAGCATGCAAGTGTCCTTGAAGCGTTCTCTTTGAACAGGAAGTGCAAAGTAAAGAAATGTTTTTGGACAGTTGCCTGCTTTATATTGTATATGAGAGGGAAGGGTAGGTAGTGTTTATGGAGCATGAGCCTGGAGAAAGGAAGTAAAAAGAAACTTGAAACGGAGTGGAAGTTGCCTGAAGAGCTGATTTAGTTTTTTGCAAAGGGTTTGGGCTCCCTTTGCCAAATTGTATGTTTTGTTGATTTTCTAAGTGAAAAGAAGTTAACCCAACCTCTGCAGCGAACAAACGTAAACTTGACACATTTCTGCAAATTATAACGCACTGTTACTATTTATGTGCTGAAAGTAACAAAAAATAAAACGGTGAATGTGTTTATCCACTACTGTTATTTTTTTTGTAAGGTTTTGGAACTTAATTGACTCGTTAGGCCTTCGAACCTCTCAAGGTGTTGTACTTACACTCAACAACCATGGGCTCCTCTAAGCAGCTGACTGAGGATCAGAAAATAAAGATAATTGACTCTTACAAAGCAGGGGAAGGCTATAAAAAGATATCTAAACGCTTCCTGCTTACAATTTCCACTGTCTGAAATGTCATTAAGAAATGGAAGTTAAGGGGAACTGTTGAAGTCAAGACACGATCTGGAAGACCAAGAAAAATCTCAGATAGAACTGCTCGTAGACTGCTCAGGAATGCAAAGCAAAACCCCCATAGCACTGCAAAGGACCTACAGGACCTGCAGCTAAGGGAAGGCTTAGCTGACATGGGAGTAGTGGTGCACTGGCCCACTTGCACAAACATGATCTGCATGGAAGAGTCATCAGAAGGAAGCCTTACCTGCCATCTCACCACAAAAGTCAATGTCTGAAGCATGCAACACAACACTTAGATAAGCCAGAGGCGTTCTGGAACCAAGTGCCGTGGTCTGATGAAGTAAAAATGGAACTCTTTGGCTACAACCACCAAAGGTATGTTTGGAAAAAAAAAGGAGAAGCATTTGAAGAAAAGAACACCTTGCCAACTGTTAAGCATGGGGGGTGGATCTGTTATGCTTTGGGGTTGTGTGGCAGCCAGTGGCACAGGAAATATTGTGCGGGTAGAGGGAAGAATGGATTCTATTATCAACACATTCTGGAAGCTAATGTCCCACAGTCAGTGAAGAAACTGAAGCTGAAAAGAGGTTGGATATTACAACAAGACAATGATCTAAAACATACCTCAAAATCAATCATGAACTACTTCAAGAAATGAAAGATTAAGGTTTTTCGAGTAGCCTTCACAGTCCCCAGACTTGAATATTATTGAATATCTGTGGGCAGATCTCAAACATGCAGTGCATGCAAGACGACCGAAGAATATTTCTGAACTAGAAGCGTTCTGCAAGGAAGAGTGGGAAAAAATTCCTAAAGCAAGAATAGAAAGACTGTTAGCTGGCTACAGGAAAAGTTTGGAGGCTGTGAGGGGGTGTTACTAAGAACTGACTGATAGGGTGCCGAAACGTTTGCACATGCCACATTTACTGTTTATTTTTTTTCAATCTGCTAAATTCAGCAAATAAATAGTAACTGTGCATTAAAATTTGCAGAAATATGTCAAGTTTCCGTTTGTTCGCTGCTGAGGCTGTGTTAACTTCTTTTCAATTAGAAAATCAACAAAACATGTCATTTGGCCAGGGGTGCCCAAACGTTTGCATTCAACTGTATCTCCAGACTCTGGCTGCCTATCACTGGATCCCTACCAAACGTGCCTTGAATTTTCCCTTTCCTGGGCCAGGATTCCTGAGATTCCATTCGCGTCTAATCGCACACATCGTTGTTGGGAGATTCATCTCAGCATCTTGAGTGGGAGATTACAGTGGAGTGCAGTGGCCTATTGAAAACATGAGAGTGCTGTTGAACAGGCAGCTCTTCCCAAAGATGAAGAGTGACAAACAGGAAGGCTGTTTCAGTGTTTACCCACAGTGATGCACTACACCAATCCTCTTCTGTCAATCTGGGTTAAGACCTCCCCTTCACAGGTCTCTCTGTGCACTGAGCCTGTCCTACAGCAAAACACTCCATCCCTCTCTAGAAGTTCATTACTGCAGGGCCTGTCATTCGAAAAAGCCTACTTTATCACAGTAGGAATAAACAAATGAGACCTCATGTTTCATCCCCCTGTACCTGTTCACCCTTTCATTCTTTTCTTTTGTTTCAATCCTCCAGCTGTACTTTCTTGCCTTAAGTAAACCATGCTACAGTATATTAAACAAACGAAATCCATCTACGATGTCTATCGGACAGTTACTGGGTCACCTCTCCCTGATATCTAAACAGCATTTTTAAGTATATATCACAAGCTTCCACAAGCGACAAAATCCTTTACGTCTCGAAATCGGCTTTTTCTGAAAAAAAAAAAAAACAACCCATTCTAGCAGTGTGACTTCCTCCATTATTTGCTGCAGAAAAAAAACCCTGATATGCATTCCACCTCTTCGATCAGGTTAAACAACATAATATGATTAACGGCAGAGTGCTGGACTGGTCGTCACAGGGAAGGAAAGGTCAGAGGGAATGCAACACATATTAAAACTGGCACAAAGCAAGGAGACTGTAACTCAGGAGGCCTTAAAAGGAGATCTTTAAATAGTCAGCACTGTTAGGATTTATAATTACTGTGTGAACGCTGCTTCTTAAAAAAAGCTCTATCCTCGAGCAGTGCCTGTGAAGGTGGCATCAAGGAACTGCTCTGTTCTACACGGCCCCCTCCCCCCAGGACTGACTGACGTAGAGCCGCTCGGTTCAAAGTGCTGCGCGGATTCTGACATTTACGAGTTTGAGCGACTGCGGCCTAAATAACATCTCCGTGTCTGTCTCGCTCACGATGTTGCCATATTTACACTGCTTTGGGGAAGGAGCCCTAGTCCCTGTCGTCTGCTGTTGTCTCTGAGTGGCTTTGAGTTTTCCATATGACTGCGCCCTTTTCGTCTCCCCCCCCGTTAGGAAAGGTGAGAGAGGTTTTTGCATTTCGTTTTGGAATTGATTTGTTTTTGCATTTTAGAGGCCCCACCCCCTCAGAGCTGCAGTGGCGCCAGCTCAGTGCACAATGATGGCTCTCCGCGGCTAGGAACGAGGACTCACATGGTATCCCTATGGAGCAGCATAGTGGGGAAATAGAAAGCACAACAGTGAGTTATAGACACACAGGTTAGAACGCGATGGACTGTTACCAAGAAGGTTATCCCCGTCCTCCCAGCATGCACTGTGGCTAACGGGAGTTGGGCAGAGAGGGGGAAGAGGGGAGGGTGAGGTACTTCCCAAAGAATCCTTAAAAATAAAAGACAATTCTGCTCCTGTCTCCCTCGTACCCTTAAACAGGGCTGGCATCACACCTTGTGCATTGTGCCACTGTCTCGTATCCCCTCTCCTCTCTCTGTGAGAAAGGCTGAGACACAACAGACACAGACCGAATCCCAACTGAAGGTGCTCTCCAAACACCTGAAGAAGCTGTTCACAGCAGCCACTCATTTCATCCGCATTTTCCCATTCCATTGTCTCTTACTTTCTGCATGTCTTAAAGATGTGATGAGTAATGCATCACTCTTCCTACTCATTCTGCCGTTCATTTTCCTTTCTACCAAACTCTTCCAGCCACAATTCATGCAACACTTGCTGTAAAGGGCAAGCTAAGTGCTGTGCCATGCCCATTGGCACCCACAGCTACCAACACTATCTCTTGGCCTAAGCAGAAAGAGCTTCTAAAATGTGTTTGCAATTGAAACCACCTTTCTGTGTGCAAACAGTACCATTTTAACATAAACTGACAAGATGAGCAAGCAGGTAGCGACAGAATATCCATGTTCTGGCTCAGCTCAAGAAACCTTTGTCTTGCTCTTCTTTGTTCCTTTACCAAATCCTTAGGTTAGGTAGTTGGTGAGTGAAGAACCACTCCTTCTCTGGCTGCTTCTGCATAGTCATCAGTGTGTTGGAAAGAGGAAATAGGGGTTAGAGAGAGAGAGTGAGGCAGAGCTTTTTGGGACTGGGATAGCTAGAAACCAGTGTGGTGTGTGTGCAGAAAACAGAGAGCTGTCCAAACGCATAGACAGTCACAGGAAGAATGCCTAACTGGCTGACTTGACCCCACACTCCTTGTTAGTTTCTCAAAACCCTGGATCCTTCTTGAAACACTGTTCTCAGTAGAGTGAGATATAGTGTTCAAAATAGCTTACTGCATGCTTCCAATTAAACCCTCAAACCTGGGACAAATATCAGCCTCCTTACTTCCCTAGAGAGATTAATATAGGTACAGGGTACCAAAGAGAAACTATGGACAGGTGGACAGGACAGGTTAATAACCAATGTAAACCTATGTTTGTGAAAAACAGGTGCATCAGTTCTTGCAGAAAAGTGTCACCTGGAAGGCGGAGGATATGCTCTTTTGAAGGGCTCTGCAGTTTATCAAAACACCTCCATCCCTTTCAGAGAGGGTAACTTCAAACACACACAAACCTGAAGTCTATTAAGTGCTAAAGACACACATTACTCTGAGAACACAGCAGTCTGCAACTTTTCTATTCTTGGCTAAAAGTTATTGGTGAAAAGTCAACACTGTTAGTTGCAATATGATAGCAAAGTTGTAAGTGTTTGAAGTTGAGGAGGACAAAGACAGGCCCTGCTTTGATAAATACACCAGCCTCCATTATACAGCCAGGAGGCGGCAGAAAAGCAGGTTTGATTCTGATTTGCTTTGAATAGTACAGAAGACATCTTGGCAAGACATTCCAAAAGTCATTTGATTCTCGCATGCGTCTGGTTTCTAAGACTTCCTACGGGTCATTTGTTTTAGAAGGCAAAGTATTCTGTTTTTTTTTCTCTTTTTCATTAAATTAATGAAGAAAAGAAAACCAAGGACGGCAATTTTGCTTCTCTGTGATGCAGCTCTACAGGGGACAACATGTGTTTTACTTCTTAATCTCAGTCTCCAGAACAAACCTCTTGAGATGCATTATCTCATGTCTTGAGGTTGTCCTTGAGAAGCTGTAGGCATGAGCAACTGCTCTGCACAAAACTACACATATCAGGAGAATAATATACTCAGTAACTAGATTTGAAATGGCTTTCTAGGGTTTGTGGATCTAAATTACATGACGGGATGAGCTTCAACAGCTTTGCAATGCCTGGCATTAAAGGAGAACCTTAAGTTAAGGGGGGGCTTGTCCCAGAGATGCAATGTGGAGTGGAGTGGAGTTGAGAGCCGGAGGGTCATACCTCTCGCAGACCCGCACAGTCCAGGCTGCGATGATCCAGGAGGAGATGCTGAACACGAGGAGCACGGTCCCGGGGCAGATGGTCATGAGGGTCTTCATGACGAAGCGGGTGTTGAAGTTGATCTTGTTGAGGGCGCCGATGCTGCGCGAGGAGGCATCGGTGAACAGCTTGCTGTGCAGCAGCATGACGCGGCCGATCAGGTAGAGCCGCAGGAACATGGGGATGGAGAGGATGATGTCCACGTCGGCGTTGGCCACCGAGGGGGTGTAGGTGAAGGCCAGCCGGGCCGTCCAGGTGAAGACGTACTGGCCTGGGATGGGGTGGATGGCGCACACCAGCAGCTCCAGCATGATGAAGAAGATGCGCTCGTATGTCATGGCTATCCTCCAGTCATCTGCCCCGTTGTCCACCATGAACAACTGACAAGGCGGAGAGCAAAGTTACCTTTCACCAAAGGACTCGGGCGACAACCTCTGTAGTTTCCTGGCCTTGCAGATCTTACATGCTGTGGATCCTACTGCTTTGTGCAGCTTTCCCAGGAGATTTTCCCTAATTTTCAAAGGTCAGTGCTTTTGCAGAAAAACAGTCCAGAAAAACAATTCAGAGAGTTTGGTGGAAGCAGAGCAGGTCAATGGTGAAACAGGCAAAATGATACACAGAAGACTTGCTCGACCCCTGTGATGCAGTATTACTCTGTAGTCAAAGCTGTTTTTATAGCCACACTTACTGACACAATACTGGATTCATAAAAGTGCTAGAAGATATTCCTCCCCTCCCTGTACTGAATCACACCTACAGGTCTGTGTTTTGTTTTGATTACAACTGCCGCATGTCTGCAGCAGAGCGCAAAGGCATTTCTAGTTTCAGCAGGAAAGAAAAATTAAAGCGTTGCACAAAGAGGTATGATAAAATACAGAAAAAATAGGAGATGCAACTAGAACTCAAAAGTTTAAAATGTGGTGGTGGTGAGTTACACTAACACACTTGCTTTCAAAAGCATTTTGCTTAAAAAATGGTGAAAATGCCTCCTAGCACTGTGGATTGTCTTCCTTAATTTATTTGTATTGATTTTGACATTTTCATCTCTTGTTGCAGTCATTTTCTATTCATTTTGTGAAGCAACGCAAAGTATAAATTGATCGAAATTTAAATGCTCTATAAATAAAGCATGAAAATACAAATTAATTACAGTTAAATATGCATTAAACGCTAAGTAAAACAAGAAAATCAAGCATTAGGCTTATATTAGATACACCCAGACTAATTAGAGCACAAAATTAAAAAAAATCAAAAGACCATTTACGTATCATTTATAAGTGATAATTCATGAAAGATCATCACCAGATAACAATGGTAATTAGTTAACAATTCTGTGCTTAATGTGGTCATCAATCATTCTGTTTTCAGCGGGAGACACTGATCAACTCAATATCATCCATGTTTGATGCTATTACGACAGAATTTTGAAAGTATTATAAAAGAATTAAGCATGATGAAATGCAGTAACTGGATTCAAGAGAGAAAAGTCCTTTGGAAAGAAAGAGGAAAGTTAATCTCAAACACTTTTAAGCATAAACTACCAATAACCTGAGCTGAAGAGGAGCAATTCTTTTTTCTCTTAATAAATCTAGAATTGACATTTACTATTCGTATACTTCTTATTTTCATTGTCCCTTCATCGAGGTGTGCCAGTTCTTACCTCAGACTCATCTCACCAGTGCAACTCCTGTATTAACCCAGACCAGATCTTCCTCCGAAACGTGCACTTCACAGCCAGAGCAAGAGCTAGGGCAGAGCTAGGACTTGATCATTCCTAAAGTATCCTTAATTGCTTAATTGACCTAGGTGTTGCAGCTCATGTTAATAGCTAGGGAACAAAGACAAGCCAAGCTTGCCTAACTCTGATCTAGGGCAGTGGATGAAGATGCCATATACAGTACGTCTCACCAATCACCCAAGCACTGTGGCCCATGCAAGCTCTGCACTGCAGCTGGGAGAATCATGGCTACGGATGGTCAATGCCACAGCCCAGGAGTAACCTAAACTAACCGAATCCCAGGGATCGGTTCGGGATCCCATTGAATCCCATCACAGATTCAATCTCGTCAACTGTGACAGTGATTTCTCAAAAGATGGCACCTCCAGGCAGTGCAGGGATTACTCTGGCATTTCCAGAGTCTTTCCAGCAAGCAGCGACTCCTGAGGCTCATAACGACATCACTGGGAGACACGCTGCTCTCACGGCAACGCGCCCAAAGACGAACGGGTCTACAGAGGGGTGTCTCAGAGGTGAGTGTCCTCATGTCTCATTCTCTCCTAGCTTTACTGAAGACCTACATTTTATCTCTACAAAAAAACATGGACAATTCCAAGATGGGTGGGTATTTCATTAAAATGAGTCATCTCTCGACTAAAGCGGTCAAGCTGCTGACCGAAGGAACGTCTTTAGAGAATGAAGCACAGGGGAGCCCCAAAGGGCCCATGTGGTCATGTGGTTAATTTTCAAGCTCAGGAGAGACCAGCCTCGGAAGGAGTTACCAGATTCATTTTAAATTTTGTTCACCAGTCCAAAATCATGTTTTCATCTTACACGATAAAAATGTTTTGCTACCGCAGATATAAGCAGAATTAAATAAATGACCTTTCAAAAAATCCATGGCACTGATGGTGTATTTCTAGAATTCCTTATCTGCCCTAATGAAGATGCTTCTGAAGATGAAGAGACTGAAAAAGGTGGTGATTTATTAACATGCATTTTTATTTTCGTAACGTTTTTAGTGGGCAGAGTTTTGTGAAGGGTGCTTACTTTGAAAGGCACTATATCAAGTCATGGATGACATCTACCTCTTTGGTTATACTGACTGTACAAAATTCTTAATATCAAATAGGATGCGGATTAGGGGGGATAAACGTGAGATTTCAAATAATTGCATAGATATAAATAAAAATACACCTGTTCTGGTTAGTAATAAATCTATGAAAGAAGCAAGAAAATGTGGCTTAAAAATCAGCTACCATTCACCCTTTTAATTTCCTTTGCCTGTTTAGACCTTAACCCCCAACCCCTCCTCATCTGATTTCCACAGTAACAAAGAGCTTGACTCACCTGGATTTCTCTGGCATGGTACATTATAATGAGACCAAGCAATATAACAGTGGAAAGGCTGATAAGGCATTTCAGTGCAAATGAATACGAAGACTCCTGAAAGAAAAAAAAGGAAGAGAAAAAAGATTAAGCTATAGTGGTACTGCTCTCACCAAGCTGGCAAAACCAGACTACAAAGCTGGCTAGAGTAGAGCCATTCGATACTAAGGGTTGCTGAATGAACCAGATTTGTTTCTCTTTTTAAAGGCGGTCTCAGAAGACAAAATCTTTGCATTTGGATTTTTGTCTTGTCTTTGCATTTCTTCCCCTCCTCTCTTCGCCCGAGATAAACATCGTGGAGCTCTCTGTGTGAAATGAAGCCCAATTTTATGGAGAAAAATTTTATGTGAAAAACTACCTTACAGGACAGGGCCCACAGCCCCAGTCTCCCCATATACTATGGCAGAGTGCATCAACTAATATTCCCAGCTCAGAAGGACCACATAACCCCCAGCTTGAGATGTAACCTACATTAGAAGTCAATTAAACCCTATTCATCGTCAAGTGGGTGCAATCCCACCATGAACATCTTACTATGTTGCACAGAAAGGACAAGGTATTAAGGAGTTCCATTACGCTGAACATTACATCAAACTGATGTCGTCCGATTCTAGTTCCCTTCAACCTGTTTGTCAACTGAAAGGGAATTGATATAGTTGTCCCTCTAACATTAGATCTCGGAGCAACAATCATTTTGTTTAAGATGCAATCCAAGGCTATACTGAGTTCGGTTCATGTACAGTACTTCCTAATAAACTGCACAAGGGAAAAGAAATCCCATTGCAAGTCGTACACAGTGGAAGTCAATCAGGGCCAATTTGGATAGATTATTAACATACCTCCAGTTAGTATTTACTGTGATTGCAATCTGATGAATCCTTTACGGTATCTGTTGACAGTCAGCATAAAAAAACAACAGCTGAGCCAGAAACAACACTAACCATCGAGAAACGAGAGAACAGGGATGCCCCTATGGAAACTTGCCTCTTGATGTTAGTGATCTAAAGCTTTGATGGCAGATAATTGCTACAAACACTCTAAAAAACAACCGAATAAAAAAGCTTCTGTGCATGGGACCAGTCTCACAGAGCAAATATTGATCTTGAAAGCAAAAACTTGGCAGCGGTAAGTAGCCTTGAGTGTAAGCGACCACAGTGCTGTCCTCAGGGGTTGAAGGACCCAGAGAGGCAGAAACGGCAGCCGTCTGGCAGACCAGAACAGTGAAATCTATCTAGTCCACAAACGTGCAGCACTGCTCACCAGTGGCGAGGTTTCCATTAATTAACGAGACGCTGAACACAGAAAGGGATTAATCACTTTTCAATCTGTGCAGCTAATAATGGTTCAAAAAAGGGAGATGAGCAAAAGAAGTTAAACAGGAGGCTGCATGAGAAAGACTGGCATTGCTGTAGAATGACTACACTCACTGTATTTCTCTGTAGCTTTAACTACAGGGTGATCCGTGCTCAGCTCAAGAATAGCCAAGGACTGACTTGGTCAGGGTTCCATAGGGGAGAAATGATTCCTTATGCTCACTTAGGGATGCCGGGACTTTAATAATAAAGGTATGCTCGTTCAGAGCTCTGTGCGACAGGCCCCTCTCTCCTTGTCGGAGTGGTTGCCTGCACCCTGGAGCAGGGGGAGAGCTCACAGCCGTAGCCCAGGTGCACGGAGGAGAGGGAGGCGGACAGGCGCTCCGCAACACTGCGCCGAGCCATGGAACAGCGAAGCGAAGGGAAACAGCAGAGCAGAGGCCCCTGCAAAAGCCTGTAAAAGACACCGACTGCTAATGCCTTAAAGACCCACATTTATCTTCTAAACGCTATCCCTCCTGGGACCTGTTCGGCTTCTCATTTCCATTATGGAGAACGTACTGTATGCAGCGATGATAAATTGGCACACAGACGCCAGCGCTGAAGCACGAGCACGGGCCATGTATCATTTTAACTTTTAGATCTGGGTCCCCGACAGTAATGAGGTAGGGAGGGCCTGAGGGAGGGGCGGGAGGGGGGACTTAGCGTCTGTCTCCCACACTCTTTTAAAGTACAGTGACTCCTGAACAGTGCTTCTTCTTGCAGTTTCTCCATGCACAGCTCTCTGAACCAATTTCAATTAATGCTGCTCAGCGGCAAATCAAAGCGAGCATTCTTGCATCACAGTGTAAGATCTGAAGGAGCTCACAACATCGGCCCCAAAGCTGCCGAGAGCCGGGCAGGATTGACGTGGTGCCCACTGCAATCTAGTACAGCACATGACAGCTGGGGCCCTCAAAACCTGATGCCGATTAAATAACTTAAAGGCTCGGTCGAGCCCAGAAAGCGATCCTTTCAAAAGCTGTTGTACAAGGGGACAATTCACAACACTGAAACACCACCTGTCCGTCAACGTGCTAGAGGTGATGACCTCACAGTCACTGGGTTTCCCACAGATGGAAGGTCTTTGTTTGAAAGAGCCTCTTCATTGTTTTGTTACGTATTTAAGGGACGTTGGAACCTAACAGTGATACTCACGCCTGGTCCTGTAGGGTCAAATCAGGTCTTTAAGACCATGACCAGGTGAATGACCCCTGACTGGCACAGCCCTCACAGAATAACAAATTCCGCTACAGCTTGTAAAGTACTGAAATAAGAACTAAGGTTAAATAAGACAGCTAACTTGGAAATAAATAAAAAAATCAGGCGCCAAGATCTTTGGAGCAACTTTATCACTGAGGTAGAATTGGGGCCATATTAATTGTTGATATAATTAAAACACTTAACAGCTTACAACTGTCTCCAAAGTTTAGTTTGTGCCAATTCACACAATTAAGAATTAAGTAAAATCAGAATTAGTACGATCAAAGCCTCTCCTTTCCCCCGGCTTGCCTGAAAACAACAGGATCGTTTCTCAGATTTCTCATGCTTTCTGTTAACTTCAATGATTTCACTACATCCTTTTATAGCCATCAAAACGCTTCCGTACACCAAAGACCGCTGATCTCAAAACACATTTTGTCAGTCTAACTCAGGCTGAACTGTTTAAATACAACTGATGCCAGTTTCTTTGGAAGGGCAACTCTGTTAAGTGCAACAACAAGTTCAGGACAAGGTGAAGTTTGGCAGCTTTCAAAGACAGCTGATCCCGTGCTAAAGTGCTTAAAGGGCTATACTGTATTTAGAAAGCTTTAAGGCAACCAATTCTACCACGAATAAATCAAAATTCCAGTGCCCTATTGCCCTTTCCAAAGAAGTTTTTGAAAACTAAAGAGACATAAAAAGTTCATTATTTTTCAAACAGTTTTGGATTAGATTTCAAAGAACATGCATTTCATTCTGGAAAGAACAGGCCTATTTCTATAAAACTGCTTCAGCAGTATAGTAAGAAGCAGTCTGTAAAGAACTTTAGCACTTGAGATTGGGTGCCTATGATAGGGTCAAAGGCAACTAATTAACATGTTCAAGTAGGGAGCTGTGTCAGCATGCGTAGGCTGGAAAGGTTTATTCCCCGCTGAAAAGAGAAGAAAAGAAACAACGTTTCAGCTGTGGAGCCTTCTTCAGGTGACATTTGACACTTGACACCTGAAGAAGCTTGAGACCTGATGAAACGGCTGAAACGTTGTGTTTCTTTTCTTCTCTTTTCAGCAGGGAATAAACCTTTGCTTGTTTCAATTAATAAACGTGGCTCATTTGGTCTAGAAGCACTGTCTAAAACTGACTCAAAGTGAATATTGCAGCTTCTGGATAGTTCTTCAGAAAAACTATTGAGAAAGTCAAATAAAATCAAATAAACACAGGGCCATGAGAAAATGCCACATACAGTATATATACACGTTAGCAGGGTGCGCTACACCCACAAAGCCAAGTCTGCCACCCACAATCACAGCAGAGTGATTATTCTGTGAACGGGTCGTCTGAGAGTTCAGTTCCTGCCTGGCCATGAGATTACAGCCATGGTAATACCGCAGTGGCAGCAACGCACTCTGGAGGGCAGTGACATGTCCCAGACGGGCTTATAATTGCCTGTGCAGGAGCTCCAGCTGCAGAGATCCTGCTAGACGTTGGCAGCACGCATGCTGTAGTCACTGGTGTGAGAAATGTTATTCTGCAGAGGCTATTAAATTAACCCCTAGTTGGCTCTCTGGAGACTGCAGGCCTCTGTCAGAAATCTGCAACAGCAAAGAGGGTACATTTCACTGATAATCGGGCCACTGGAACATTTTATACATGACAGAAACTGCAGTCCAAATCACAGCTGTTAGAGTTAGGAGCCTGTATTGCTTTTCTGGCATTTATTTATTTTATGCTTAGATTTTAACCCCCTGAGTGTCAGTAAGCAGCCTCACTAAGTTGAGGAGTAAGGTTATTTTACACAGATATTGTTACAGCCAGTAGCTACCCTGCAGCTCACAGCTGGCAGCCCACTGGAGCTCAGCAGGTGTGAGCCTGGCCAGTTCCTAGATGGGAGACCCCCTGGGAAAACAGGCTGCTGCTGGAAGAGGTGTTAGTGGGGCCAGTAGGGGGCGCTCATCCTGTGGTCTGTGTGGGTCCTAATGCCCCAATACAGTGATGGGCACACTGCACTGTAAAACGCTGTCCTTTGGATGAGACATAAAACCGAGCTCCTGACTCTCTGTGGTCATTACAAATCCCAGGGGTTTCTCGAAAAGAGTAAGAATGTTACCCCAGTGTCCTAGCCAAATGTCTCACAGGCCTTCACCAATCATGGCCTCCTAATAATCCCCCTCTCTGAACTGGCTTCATCACTCTTCTCTCCTCCCCACTGAGAGCTGGTGTGTGGGGAGTGTTCTGGTGCACTATGGCTGCCCTTGCATCATCCAGGTGGGGCTACACACAGGTGGTGGTGGAGGGGATCCCCATCACCTGTAAAGTCCTTTGAGTGGAGTGTCAGAAGTCAGAAAAGAGCTATATTAGTGTAAGTGTAATTATTGTGAAGGAATTATTCTCTATCAGCTGATCTAAAATGTTTGTCAGCCACAAAGTTCATTGCAGTTTTCTGCTTTTTATTTACTGTTTTTCCCCCCACTAACCTGAGCCTTTGCTTGGCTGATCAAGACAAGGCGAGAGGAGGCTTTGAAACTGACGCTTGCAGATCCCTTGTGGAAAGAAATTGAGTAAGCCTATTTATTCACCTGTCAGTACCCGGTGGGGGTGGGGGGGGTGGGGGGTGTCAGTGAGACCTAGGCTTTTGCGCTCAGCATTGTTGGCCTCAATGAAGGTTTGCATCTAGTCTCTCTCATTGAAAGGGTGCTCAAAGTTCCATTTGATCATTTGAGGCAGGGAAGAACATTCACAAGATCACTTCATTAAAACTCCTCACCTCACACGTTAAATAAGTGAACAGACGCATGGGGCATAATGAGCAATCTTACTCACGCCAACTGGTGTACAGAGAAGCACCTGTCCTTAACTCACAATGCAGATTACTCCACAGACAGCCTGGCATAGCTCCACAGGAAAACCCTCTGGCAGGGCGCAGTAGTAGTGACAGGATCTAGACTCGGGACAGGATCTGACCTAGGAGGATTGTGAATTCAAATCCTACCTGTGTGAATACACCTGCAGCAGGTCTGGGTTTTTAAAAATGAATTGGAGAAGAGGGGTTTCAGTGTAAACCTTCTTCATTGCCAACTGTGAAACAACAGTATACAAGATAAGAGGCATCTTCCTTTTCAGTTAGTTAGATGCACTCCAGCTAGTTTATTCTGTTGTATTATGTGTCCCTATTGATTGTTTAGGCTGTATGGATGATCAAGTCCTTTTTTCTGCCTCAGAACTATGTAAATAGTAGGATGTAGGGTAGACACAGGCTCCTCTGCAGCCACAGACTGGAAAAAGCAGTTAGAAAAATGGATGGATGTGTTTTTTAAACTGTTACAAAGTGTTTTGAGACTGCTGTTGTTACAGAGTAGAAAATAAAGTATATTATTAGCAATATCTTCATACTAACACCTCAGTAAAACTAGGACATTAATACCATTTTCCACGCTGAAAAGAGAAGAAAGAAAACACAACGTTTCGGCCACCCGAGGTCACCTGAAGAAGGCCCCATGGCTGAAACGTTGTGTTTTCTTCTCTTTTCAGCATGGAATAAACCAATTTCTTGTTCCTTTGCAGCCTACGCATGCTGACTCAGCTGCCCACCTGAATATATATATAATATATATCACAATATTACTATAATCCCCCCCCCCACCACCAACAACTCCCACTCTGAGACTTCTACTTACCTTAGAGTAAACCCCCCATGATAGTTCGGTTTCTGTCACCATGACGACAATCCCAAACATTCCAAAGATCAAGGCGTAGTCGCTGAGCCGCTTGCGCTTCTCGAAGAGTGCCCGCCGGTGGCCCAACTTGTAGCCGATGTCCTTGTTCTTCTTCTGCGGCGCGTTGCCCCCCTCCCTGGCCAGGCTCTCGCTGGACGCCTTGCTGGGGTCCTCGCCGTTGCCCTTGGAGACCACCACCTCCAGGCCGGAGCTGTGCAGGGTCTGGAGGGGCTGCGTCTCCGAATCGAGCTCCGCAAGGTTGCGCCGTGATGACCCTAAGCTGCCCAGGGGTCTCACCACACCCCCATTGTACTTGCAGCTGTTCATGGCTATCTCAGGGAATGGGTTACAGGTCTCGGAGAGGGAGGGCTTGGATCCAGCATGGCTTAGCTTCTTGGGCTCAGCATTTACCTGCAAAAGGGCAAACAGGAGCTGTAAAGGAATTCATTTCAGTGGGCCAGATTGTAAGTAAATGTCTGCAGTTAGGATACCTAAGGTTTCACTAGGAATAACAACACCCAAGAATTAAGTATGCTGAAAGGATTATGGACCGTTTTAGTTAAAATGTGGCTGAACCCGATTAGCTGAGGACTGACCTCCCGGCCAGACGAGGAGGCTGGGACCCCCCTGCAGAGTGAGTAGTGACCCAGGGGCAGCCGCAGAGGGGAAGATAGGATGGAGGTGTTAAGCAAAATGACATATGCGAGGGAGAGAAGGGGGATCACATACAGTATTAACAGTGTTTTAGGAGAGGAAATGACGTCAGGGGTGATCACAAAACTGACAGCTGAGTCTGACTGAACTCGACTGTTAGCATCTCTCCCAACGTTCCATTAGTTCATGCTTTAACACAGCTTTGAACTCTGGAACTAAAACATACACGTTCAAGTCAGTCAGTGTGGCCAGGCCAAAAGCAGACTCGGAGCTCAGAAAAATTTGTGCCACCTGTCACTTACAGTATGCTCTGTAACATCATCCACATTTTTCTTCTGAAGGTAACAGAACTGTCAGATGTGTGTGCTGACCTGCAGAGCAACCAGTAAACAGCTTTTCTCTGACTTTACACAAAGTATTTCTGTGGCTTTAGCAACATATCAAGTCAATGAGCTAAATATGGAAGATCTTGGGAATTTTATTTAGCTTTTAAAGCAAACCTAATGTTATGATCCTAAACAGACTATCCAATAACCATCACAATAAAACATTATAAGTATAGCTTATATCACTGCACTATTCAGTTACACTGTTTGGTCTACATGTAGACCAATAAATTATTTTTTTTACCATGTGCCCACAGAGCGGATGGAGCTTTTGACAAAAAAAGACAGGAAATGACAGAGGGAGTTAAACACCCCTCCGGAGCATGGCACTCCTCTGATTGGCCTCACAGCTTTGCGCGATGCTTAATTAGTTCTGGAAGCGGTTTCCACTGCAGCAATCTGTTGGCATGGATAGTTTAAGAAAAAAAAACACAAACAGAAACAGCAACAGAAATCACAGAGAACTGCCAACAAGGAAAGAGATATTGGCAAGACATCTTTTAAGCCGCGGGTCCCTCTAATGTGATGGCAGGTGATTCAGCAATCTTCCGATTCCAATGGATTTTTCGATTAACCCCAGTGACGTTTCATATACAAATCTGCACACGACAGGCTGAATCAGTCAGGGTGTAGGCATTCTCTGTTCTTTCAGCTGGGGAAAAAATGAACTTTGATTCTTTGAATGAGGCTCTTTAAATGGGATCCTCACCTGCACCACACCAGTCAACCCAAAATACAGGGGGCTGTTGTACACATATAGCACTTAAACTAAAATGTGTTTAAATTTATTTAAACACGAACTGCACAAAATCATTTGTTTAAGTTACTGACTAGAGAGCAAACAAATTTGTTAAAGCATACAAATAATCAGATATACTGAAGGGGCTGATGATGGTCATTTCTAGTGTTTTACAGTGAAATGTCCTATTCCTCATCTTTTGTGACGTTTTTTGTGTTTGATCATGACACACCAGTACACGTCGCATTTATTCTCTCTTCAATTTACTCAACAGCCTATAATAAATAATGCAACCATTAAGCCTGACTGCTTTCACTTTCACCCTTTCAAAGTGTTTCCCACTAACGAACACTTACGTCATCTCTTAATTCACAAGAACTGATTTAACTGAATTGTGTTCTTCCCCTGACAGCAAAATAACACCTCACGGTCTTTGAAGTGTCTCAGCAAAAGTGTGTTTTTCTGAATTCCGTTGAGCCGGGGTTGTCCTATCCTGATGCTGACAGGCAAAAAGAACTTCATCTTTTTAGTCTTTAGCAGAGAAGACTGAGGAGACCTGATACAGGTATGGAAAATCCTCAGTGCTCAAAGCCATTGATGGAGTCGACCCACCAGTTATTTTCAGCATCAGCCCGGAAACCATGGAAGTGCATTCAAAACAGACAAAAAGACAGTTCTTTACACAAAGAGTTGTTGGAGTATGGAGCAACAAACCTAACTACACCCTGGTTATGTTCAGGAAATGGCATGAGATAATAGTAGATACTAAAAAAAAAAAAGCAAAAATGACTCAGATGCCCCCCCTCTTGTTTGGCAATATTCACGTTTTTTTATATTCCTTTTAACAGTGTGAAGCCCATAATGGTATTAATAAAGACTGCAGCTGCCGGAACAGAAGAGGGACAACTCATTTCCTTGCCTGCTGAAACACCCTGCCTTATCTCTGTCGTGAATCGGGAAGACACATGCTGTTGGCCACTAACCGAGAGGTGGCACACAGAACTAACGAGAGAGAAAAAAATGGAAGGGACCAATAGCTCAACAATATTGATCATTAGATTTCACTCATTTTCTGTCTCAATAAGCAGCACAGCATGCTTCTCCAGGACACAAGTTTCCTCTCGTTTCCTCAAGAAGCCCCTCCTTCTCTTATACATTCAAACACACTCTTCATGGGCTGTTACACAAGAACTAAAGGTTAACAGCAGCTTTAAAATGTACATCACTACAACTCTCTCAGTATTCTGGAGAATAAAATGAGGTTACTTTCACTGAAAGGTTTTTCCTCAAGAAATCCTGTAAACCAATATTTGACTAAATACACACTCCACACCACGTCTGTGTGGAATGATGATATCTGCAATGGCTGTTATTCACACGGCCACAATCCACCAGAAACATAAAGGCTGGCCCTTCTATACAGACACACTGGGAACTTGAGGTTGAGAAAGGCCTGTTAATATGGACATCCACACACATCCAGGAGTCGACTTCTTGACTTCCGCTTTCTAACATAAAGAACTGTGCTTATCTATTCTTTCGACACAAATATCAAAAAACAATCCTAATCAGAACATGTCTGCTTTTAATGTCTCACAAGAACCAAACGATATAGGAATGGAACCCACGTGAATTTGTGAGTAAGTTGGAGCCACTGTTTGACCAAGTGGTGAGTGAACTGACATTCTACTGATCTCCACTATGCACAATTTTGGAAAGAACCTCCTAGAAAAAGGCTCAAAAACCCAAACAAAGAAGAAAGAAAAATTAAATCCTTTGTGTTGATAACTTTCTTTTCAGAGCTTTGCTGAATCAAAAGTTGCCATCCCACGAAAATGTACTATCCATGCCTGGGGGTTAATTTATATTTGTTTGAGCTGATTTACCATTCTGGCAGGAGCGACACTGCAAGCAAGAGATATAATGACGTTTATATCTTTGTTACACAATGAGGTAGCTAAGAAAAGCGAATTCAAATGCTGAACAAAATGGACCAGCCACAGTATTAACAGCACAGCACTGACTGACTGGAGAGCCACTTGCCAGACAAATCAGGCCGACACTTTTCAAGGCCTACAAGAACAACATGGAGTTGCCCAGGTGTGCCTACATGGTCAACCACCATGCAATCATGCTTAACAGCAATCAAGTCCACAACAGACACACTAAACCCCCCAAACCCATAACCACTACTTTCCACCTTTGATAAGAGCCAAGTGCACCATTAAAAGTCATCTTCTGTGACATGGACCTCCCATGACCTTCCAGAAAGAAGGCAGCTGGCAAGATGAGGACCAGGGTAGACTCTTATTATCATGTTCTGTGTACCAGTACCGACCAGAATTTGCCACACCCAACGTGTTGATCTCTAAATGCTCACTCTGGAGCACACACTGTTACCCCAACCCTCCGGCAGCCAGTGCCAATGTGTATTCATCCCTCATTCCTTCACCACAACTCCACAAACCCCTATGGGACATTTATCACATCAAGGAAAACGACTGCTTAAAGTTCATATTTATAGTTGTGCATGGATGACATTTCATTTCTTGCACAATTTTGATGAAGTCTGGAAAACCAAACGGAGTTCACAAGAAGGTCAACACACAGCCACGTTGTGAAAGTTCTGATGCAGACTCTTCCTGGCTCCAATCTGCTGCAAAGCCCATGAATCCTAAACGCATCCATGCAAAACTGTGCCTGATGTTGATACTTGATGCACAAAGGATAAATTCAAAATCTGCCAGTCTACAACCATGGTCACCCAGAGCAGAGGATGGAATACAGATTGACTCAATGTCGGATTAACAAATATGAAGGAAGTATCACAGAGATACTGTGCAACTCCAGATGTAATCACCAGTCTGACTCACCTAATTATAGTCATTGCAGTACATCTACATCACCTATACCAAAGCAGACCACAAGGCCAATATTAAACATTTGATAAATTAAACTGGTTGTATCTAGTATTTCCTACACACTTGACAGTCACGTCCTATGTTATGCTCAGGTAGAGTCTTTACAAATTACCATGACGAAAGCAATAGAGGTTTTCCCAATATGAGACACACTGCTTTACCAATTCCTATTGTTCTTTTTGCTCCTTCTTAGAGTGAATGTGAATTATTGCTCCAGGGTCAGACAACAGTACTGACTGCAGTCAGGCAAAGTGCCAACAGCCAGTATGTGAGCTTCCTCTCGCAACTCTGCATAACACTCTCTGTCCTGACCTGCACACCCCCTCGCCATTGTGTCCTGCATAATCTTTTAACCCATTGTTGAGGTTTATAACTATTTTTCTGTCTTAAGTCTTCTTCATTTGAAGACAGTAGAAGATTTGCTGCTTTGTGCTGAAACAGGAGAGTGATTTATAATTTGTTCTAGTCCTACAAGGGATATAGCTGAGGCAACCACGATTATATCAGCCGAGACTTAAGGGATACAACAACCCAAGGCCTCTGGACCTTGAACAGGATACTGAAATACCCAAGTGTGCCCCTAGTGCCCCATTCAGAACATTTTTGAACAGACTTTTGAAACTAAAACTTCCACTAAGAATTTACTCATTTAACACACACTCATGGGAGTAGGCAAGAATACCCTTAACTATTATGTAGTGATGCACAGTC